CCAGCTAGCCATGCTGGCTGGGGAATTCTGGGAGTTGAAGTCCACTCATCTTAAAGTGGCCAAGTTTGGACAACACTGGCCTAGCAGAAGAGCCTGGCATAAAAGACATAGAAAGTGAGAATCGTAAAGGAGGCAATGGGTGTATTAGAAGGGTGTGACTGATTGATTATGTGCCATCAAATCGATGTTGACTCTTGGTGACCACATAGATTTTCTCTACAAATTAGAAAGATCTAGGGGAGTGTGAAAAGTTCTATGTATATAGCATGTGAAAGATGTATGTATGAGATTAGAGAACACCCTAATACAGTGTTTCTCAACCTTGGCAACTTGAAGATGTATGGACTTCAACTCTCCGAATTCCCCAGCCAGCATGACTGTATGTTGTAGCAGGATTATTGTCCGAGAGCAGGAGGGAGGTGTAAAATTGCCCTGGGTGCCCTGGATATTTTCAGCTGCATCTCAAATAAAAATGAGAGTGAAAAGCAATACAACAGTAAAACAGGCAAAAAATAAGTTGGCAGGTAGAATTGGTAAACTGGTACAATACTGGAGAAGGATAACCTAGTACCCTTCAGATGTGAGGGACTTCAATTCCTGTTAGTCTCAACCCGTAGGGCCAGTAGAAAGGGATTATGGGGGTTGCAGCCCAGAAAATCTACTGGGCAATGGGTTTTTTATATCTATCTTTACACAAAGTCACATTTTTACAAACGTTGGGTTTCCCCAACTTATAGGGTTTCCCCAGCTTAAAATATTGAGAGCAGGGGGAGAAATAGTCAGCAGCTGGCTATCTCAGGACAATAGATCCTGAGATTCCAACTGATCATACTTTGGACATCTACCTTCACCATTAGGGACGCATACAGGTAGTCCTTGCTTAATGACCGTAATAGGGACCGGAACATTCATTATTAAGTGGGGTGGTTGCTAAGTGATTCACGCCCAATTTTATGACCTTTTTTGCAGCAGTCATTAAGCAAATCACCATGGCTGTTAAGTGAATCACAGGGTCATTAAGCGAATCACACAGTTTCCCATTGATTTTGCTTGCCAGAAGCTGGCTGAGAAGGTTGCAAATAGTGATCCTGTGACTCCAGAACACTGCAACCATTGTAAGTGCGAGCTGGTTGCTAAGTGTCCGGATCGTGATCATGAGACCATGAGGGTGCTGTGATGGTTGTAAGGGCAAGGACTGGTTGTAAGTCCCTTTGTTCAGCACCGTTGTAACTTCAAACGGTCACTAAATGAATGGTTGTTAAGTGAGAACTACCTGTACTTGGTTCTAGATAATTAGACCCCCATCCTAAACTGAGTTTGTGAAACTAATACATTTCATAAAGTGGGGCGGAACAGCCATTTTGTTTGTTTGGGACTTGGTCACTAAGTAGGAGTGAATCCCCTGCTAATATTGCTTTCTCCCTTCATTTTTTGAGGACACCTTATCGTTCACTGTTGTAATTGAAGGAGTACGGTATACCCTTCATCTAAGAAGGAACAAGTAAGTGATTCCCTTCTGGCTGGGTTTTGCGGATTTTCTCTCTTGGGAATCCTACTCTCCTTGAAACTGGCCCGTTATTCCCTCTGCTGATGAAAACTGATTTATGTAAAAAGTTACAGGTGGTGGAAGGAAGCAGAAGTTTAGTTGGGGATGAACGTGCCTTTTTTTCCCACCCCACCCCACCCCACCCCTTCTCCCTGTGGCCGAGGCTTGGTCAATTGCTTTTCTTCGAGCCACGTTTCTCTTACTTTGATTTTTGAAGCATGTTCTATTTTGCATCCGTGTGTTTACCCCCTCCCTCCTTTTAGAGAACTGATACCCCAAGGCTTCACCATTTATAGCTACGATAAAAGTGGAAATCTGCAAACAGAAACTCCAGGCCTTCAGGTACGTTTCATGTTTCACAGAGGGTTGATAAGAACAAGAAAAGGGGAAGAAAAAAATGTTTCAACCAATTTGCTCTGGCTGAAGAGGAAGGTGGTCTGAAAGCCCTGGTCATGCTGGGCTTTCTCCCCCTACTTCCTTTGTAGCCCCTCCCTCAGTCTGTGGGGAGAGGAGTTGGGCATGTGGGTATGTGCATAGAAAGGGAGATATTTTTTTCCTTCTCCTTCTCTTTCCATTTGTTAAAAGAGCCTTTACTTAAGAAATGCCTGTCAAAGGAGAAGAGAATGTAGAAGGAATACTTACTGGGGGAATTTGATGTTCTTCCATTTCTTTAAGGATGAGGTGACGGGGTACACTGGAATGCCCCATCATTCATTGCACCATCTTCTCTCAAGGACCTGCTGTTTCACTAGCTTCACACACTTCTAGAGCATATTACAGTAATCAAAGTGTGGTGTGAGAAGGGTGTGGGTCACTGGCTCCAGGGCTTCCCAGTCTAAGCAAGGCTGCACCTGGCCCACCCACTCAGCTGGCCACCGCTTCCATCTGCTTTCCTAGCAGGGGCTGGGAATCCAGGATTACCTCTGGGTGCGGGTGACCTCATCCAAGCTAGCAGTTGAACTAAGTCTAAGCCAAGATGCTTCTGGACAATCATCACCTCTGTTTGATTGGATTTAGTTTCAGCTTGTTACTACCCCCTTGTAGACTCCATGATTTAAGGATGGACTAGGAATTCCACATTTCTGGCTCAGCCTGGGATGACAGTGCCCAGTTGACATTTATTTATTTATTTATTTGTTTATATTTCAAATTTGGACACCGCCCATCTCACGAGGAAGTGACTCTCATGAGGAAGTGACTCATGAGGTTATCCATGGACTGAGGATACCTCACCCTAAGCCGATTGATGACCTCCCCCAGCAGCTTCTCATAAATATTTTTAAGCGTTGGACGTCCTGTTTCAGGTTTCAAACTCACGCACGCACACACACACCCAGAGTTGCTAGGTGATAATAGTAATTTACTCAGCGCTGAATAGATAAATGGCAGATGGGGAAAGGAATGTAAATCCAAACAGAGGAAAGAAAGCTTGCCTGGGTAGTTTTGCTTTCAACAGGAACATGCAGAAGAGAAGTCAAAATCCAGCCCAAGTTCAGAGAGCCAAGTCAGGTTTGTCAGACAGTCCAAAGGTCAGAGTTTCAGGGTTTTTTACACAAGCAGAATACATAGGAATGACATGCCAGAGTAGGCGATCAGACGGTTGGTTCCAACAGAGAAACATGGGTCAGGACTGCCTCTTAAGACTTCAAATTGCCTAATACCCAGCTTCCCAAATAATTGCAGATCAGTCTCTTTTCTGCTAGAGGTGCATACATTTTTGGCGGGGCGGGCAAAGGCTTCTGGGTGGTGTAGTGGGACTACAGCCCAAAATATGGTGAGCCAGGGCAAAGAAGTAGGGTGGGAAGAATGGGAGAAAAACTAAATTTTGATTTAATGTATTTGGTGTTTCAGATTAATTAAATGAATTCAATGCATGGATTATGATTTATGTCCCTTGCGTTTAATAATTTCCCCTTTTGATCACACTAACAACAATACTGCCAGTCCCTGGAGCTGTTCCAGGAACCTCACCCAAGACTTTTGTAGGAGCAAATTCCACACACATAATTCATGTGCTGGCAAATAATTAATTGGACTGAGTTGAGTGTTGATACTTCAGGAGCTAGCAGGCATCTTGAGTGGGTTTTTTGTTTCTCTTTCCCTTTGACCTCACTTTTGGTCCCTCTGTGCTGCCCCACTTGGTGCGGGGAGACGGTGGCTCAATATTGTTCAGGCTTTTAACAGGTCCAGAGTGACTAGCTGGCTGAGAAAGTAATACTTTTCCTGGGAAACCCACCTCTGCAGTTTGCACAGCATGTTTTAGAGCTTAGCATGAATGTGAACTCAACAAGTGATAGTCAAGACAATCTGAGATGAGGTCTGGAGAACCATGGAGATGGCCTTGAGGAGAACCCTGAAACGCTGGCAGAATTGAAACAGACAGAATGGCTGGAAGGGGATAAGCTAGGGAGGAGAAGCAAGGGATAAAGTTGGAAATAGAGCTTTTTGAAGTGGTTGATGGAAGGAAGGGGAAGGGGAAGGAGAAGGAGAAGGAGAAGGAGAAGGAGAAGGAGAAGGAGAAGGAGAAGGAGAAGGAGAAGGAGAGTCTTTATGGTCATAGTCCTAGTAATTCTCTTTGCTACAGATTTTGTTATTGTGCTTTGGTTATATTATTTTATTACTTTCAACTTCGTACCGTAAGAAGGGAAGATAAACCACTCAGAATGCCACTGGACTGGAGTGACATATAAGTCCTAGTAAATAATATAATGGAATACAATACAGCAGTGTTTCTCAACCTTGGCAACTTTAAGATGTGTGGACTTCAACTCCCAGGATTCCCCAGCCAGCATGAATCCTGAAAGTTGAAGTCCACACATCTTAAAATTGCCAAGGTTGAGAAACACTGCAGTACAGTTACAGATACAACAGACATCAGTCATGTAAGTTTGCTTGTGATTTACCTTCCCTCCCTCTTACACCCTAGTGAATGAGAAAGGAGCTTTTCTTAACTCTACCTCCTTTCTTGGGTTTAAGGAACACTTCTGCCCTTGTTTCTCTAACACAGTTCCTCAACCTTGGCAACCTTAAGATGTGTGGACTTCAATTCCCAGGATTCCCCAGCCAGCCATGACTTTTTGGTTGATGGTGGAAGAAAGGAGAAGGAGAAGGAGAAGGAGAAGGAGAAGGAGACTCCCAGGACTTCAACTCCCATGGCTGGCTGGGGAATCCTGGGAGTTGAAGTCCACACATCTTAAAGTTGCCAAGGTGGAGGAACACTGCTCTAACAGCTTCTGAGTTCCCCTCAAGACCATTGCCATAGCTCTCTTCATCAAGGTTAAACCGTTGACATGGCCTGATGCTCAGTTTTCTTTCTTTTTTCTCCCCCATTTAGAAGCACTGCCACTACCACGGATATGTCGAAGGAATCTCAGATTCTTTCATTGCAGTCAGCACCTGTCTGGGGCTCAGGTAACCGGACTCCTTTTGTACTTTTTCAGTGGGGAAGAAGCAGAGAACAGCTGCTGCATTGGTCCTGCAGTGGCTTGCCATGTGGGGACCCCACTTTTTTTAAAAAAATCCCTACATGCTTTATAAACTTGGTGGATGAGGCATACTAGCCATGGCACCTGCTCCTTTTCTTTTACCGTCCTGCCTCGGGTTCTGAATTAGGGGTGGATCATCTGGACCAGAGCCAGGTACATAACGTGCCTGCTTAATTTTGCAGACGCTGGTTTAGATTCTAGAATGGAAAGTAACTTAGTCCTTCCACGGATAAATGCCTTCTTGGTTACTCTGTCCATCTCAGTGACATAATTAAGGTAGGGGTGTTCAACTAGTGGTATATATGACACTAGTGGGACTCGATAGTTCGGTGGGACACACTGAAACTTCAAATAAGCTTGTCACCCTTACTAGAAATGAAAAATATCAGAGAATTGGAGTTCACCGCTTTCACCAGAGTGAAGAAAGCAGTGTTGTAAGTCGTGATGTTTGTGTGATGTTGTGACCCACCTAGAAAAGGGACGGGGCTGGTGTTGTGACATCCATGTGTGTCCCCCCTCCCGCTTGACATCCCTGAGAAATGGCGTTCTTGAAAACAAAGGAAGTCTTCTGTTTCTTTGATGGAACGTTTGGCCAGACTTGTGATACCAAAAGTTAAGAAGTATGGATTTAAGGGAAAGCCAGGAGTTCTTTTTTGTTCCTCTTGTTATAGAACAGCTTGGAGGCAGGGATCCTTGGTTATTTTTTATAAATTAACAGAAAACTATTCTGCTCACCCCTGTTTTAGAGAAAAGGTTGCAACTCCAGGTATTAGAAAGAATGCCTCCATTGAATCAGCAGTTTAGCATGGCCCTTCTCCAACAAACCAGGACTTTGATAACTAGTCTAAAACCCTTCTCTTGGCAAGGTACCAGCAGTGTGACCCTTCCCTTCCCTTCCCTTCCCTTCCCTTCCCTTCCCTTCCCTTCCCTTCCCTTCCCTTCCCTTCCCTTCCC